AGGGGCTGTGATAGGATGTCATCTTTGAGCTGATGGCATGATCTGTGCTGGGACGGTTATGAGTGACTCACTGGTGAAGCAGATCCTGCATCTTAATCGTGTATTTAGGTCTTTTTGAGCCTGTTTTTAGGGTGTCAGGAAAGCTTCTGCTGGAGCCAAGGAAGCCCGGGAACCCAAAATAGGAATAATGACAGCTGCAGCCACCATTCAGTAAGCACCTAGCACAAACCAGGCCCTTTGCACACATCATCTCATTTAATTCTCACAACAGTCCTCTAAGTTCAGGTAATAGTATGACCCCCCACTTTACCAATAAAAAGCTGAGCCTGAAGAGGTCAAATAGTTTACCTAAGATCACACTGAGTGAAGCTGGAGATAAGTTCAAGGTCAGTTCTGCCCCACGTACAAGAAGTTGGTATGAATTAAATGACCGGATATAAAACCCCTGATAATAGTTTCTTTCCATCCTTAGGTAACATCCTTTGCTGAATAAATGATGCCTGAATTAGACTAAACTAATTATATGTGTCCTGCAGGGACACTTGCAATTTCTCAACCACAGAGTGGGAAGCGGAGGAAAGAGATGACATTTTATTGAGCATCAAGCACGGTGTAGATGTTTTTTGTATGCAGTTTTGGTTCAGCCCTAAAGCAAGCCTGTGAGGTCCAGGGTGTTATCCTCTTGTACAGCTGACAGCTTTAAGCCCTTGCTACGATCACACAGCTATTAAGTTCACAGAGCCGAATCTGAACCCACTGCAGGCTGGATCCAAACCCTCTCCTTTCCACTGCACCACGCTGTCTCTTCTTAGTGTCTCACCAACCAAATATGCAAGAGAGGAGGCAGTAAGGCACAGCCCTTCAGGGTGTTTATTTGAAAAACATGTTAGAAACCTCAGGCAGCTCTGGGAGACATAGGGACAGAGTTAAGGTAACCTGTCTATCTGGTTGGACAGTCACTGATGAAACAGGCACATTCCTGCTGTGCCCCTTGTTACCCACTTCCACCCTGCTCCGCCCCCGACAGCTGCCTACGCAGGCAGGTCTTTGCTGTGGCCCAGAGCAGCCACCCCCGGCCCACTTAGAGCAGCACGCAATACTGCACTAGATAACCTATGAGGTCAAGCTCAGTGCTGATCACATGGTAAAGGGTAAGAGAGTGGACACTGGGCCAGACTGCCTGGATTTGAATCCCAGCTCAAGGTTAATAACTGGAGGTGAGTTTCTTAACCTTTCTCTGCCTCAGCTTCCTCATCTGTAAAACTGGGGTTATAATAACTCACAGGGCTGTTTGGTAGGGTTCCTGAAAACCTGAAAAGCTTTCAGAACAGTTAATTCCCCAAAATAAAAATGAGAATGTCTCTGCTTGAAATGGATTAAGAAAAGATAACTATTTGAAAAGCTTTTGGAACACTGCCTGGCAGGTACGGTGCTAAGCATTCAGTCAATGCTGCTGTTGTTATTGTTTTTTTTATTCAGACAGCCAGACTGAGGACCAGCTAAACATAGTAACCCGTCCAATGAGACACACATAGCAAAGCCCCCGCCTCTTAATCCAGCGCGCTTGCGCATACTTGCCTACATGCTGTAACAGTGAGGTCATTGATTTAAAATCCATCAGTTCTTTGAAAGTAGTGTGAGCTGTTCCCCCATTTCAAGCTGAAAATAGTCACTTTATTAATTCATCTTTTAGAAAGAAAGAGTCTTTTATAAAAACAAATAAGCTGTTATCAGTAAGACTAGAATTGACAGGAACCAGCTCAGTCCTTCCACTGGGCTCCAAGAGAGATTATCAGACTCTGTAAGTGATAATAACTGCTGGCTGTTAAAACCAATTTAGTTGCATAACTGTCTGGGGGTATTTCAGAAAAGTGTCTAATTTCTGTTGCAATTCTAAAATGAAAAGATAAAGAAAAGCATAAACACTTGCATGGCTGTAGTATAATTATACATATCCCACGTACAAAAAAACCAGCTGGTCATTGGGAGATGGCCAATCTGGAATATCTTTACAGAAGAGCAGTTTTATGATAGAGGTTTGGATACCTTATAAGGAAGAGATCAGAGCACTGGCAGTGGGGGTACTTAGGGCTCCTTAAAAAAAATTCTGTGCATATAGATAATTATTTAGTATAGTTTCCAACCGTGGGAACATTCACGCAGCCCTCCTGTGTCTCTAATGCTGCAGACTCAAGGAGGAGATCTGGGTCCCCCCCAGGCAGTTTGTGGGTAATCAGTGTGGTGACAGTGACAGTGACCGAATGAGGGAGGGGAGCGGAGGAGGGGCTCCTAACTCACTTAGGGACAGCAAGGAAAACTTCTTGGAGGAGTTGATGCTTGAGGACAGCCTTTAAGGATGAGATTGTTTTTATGAGTTAAATAAATTGGGGAAAAGATCTTCCAGATAAAAAAGGGGGCAGAGGAGGAGAGGATAAGAAGGTTAGTCTTGTTCTGGGAGCTGAAAGACTGGTAGTGCTCAGTTAGTCAAAAAAAAAGGTGCATTTGTGAAGAAATGCACTTGTAATAATGATAGCTGACATTTGAGTTTTGTATGTTCTTAGCACTTTCATTATGTGGTTCATTTAATCCTCGTATATGTCACATTAGGTAGAGACATTTCTTATCCCCATTTTGCAAATGGAGAAACTGAGGCACAGAGAAGTTCAGTAACTTTCCCCAGTTCTCACTGTTAGGGACAAAGCCAGGATGGAAACCCGGGCAGCCCTCCAGAGTCCCTGCCTCTGTGTGAGCTCACAGGGAAAGCATCTCTTTGGTTTGGAGCTCCCTAGTAACTACCCCAGATATGAACTAGACTTTACCGATTCCCAACCAAGATGAGATCAGCTTTAACCCGTAATTCCATGACTTGTGGGGATGCCTTCCTGGTAATTTCTATGAAATAACAGAGGCTTGCGTTTTGTTTTGTTTTGTTTCCTGTGGGTTCACACTCTCTGTGCAGTGTTTCTGAGCCTGCTCTTTGTCTCTATCCTGTTTGGGTGATGTCTGAATGGTGGGCACAGCCCTTTCTTAATTTATAGCTGTCCTTCGCTCCCCTCAAACTGTGCATGAATTGACTTAAGATTTGGCGGGCTGCTGTGACCAGTGGGTGCTATGGTTTGTTGATTGTAACATGGAATACCCTCCCCCATCCCCTACTTACAAACAAGACCAGGTGTGGACTGGGAAATGCTGTATTCTGGACTTAAAGGACAGGCTGACTATAGAGGGAAGGCCAGGAGGAGTCCAGCTCCCGTGGCTTGGATCCCAGCCTTTCCCAGTCATGGCTGTGAGGGCTGAGGAATAAGGAGAGGAAGGGCCAGTGAAGGGAACGTGCTGAGATGCAATTAAGTGCCATTCTGGTACCTCAGAAAACAAGAACTCAATGAAGAAATAGCATAAACTTTGGGCTACTTTTTTGCTAAGCTTGCATGTAATCATATACATTTGAGTTGCATTCCTAAACTGTTATACTTCCATTACTTTTATACAACTGTTATATAAAACTTGGTTATGGTTTTAACTACATTAGTCTACATTGCATCCCTTTTGTATTACATGTTTACTAGTTTTAACTGTATTTAAGAGTTGTCTATGGCTTCTACTCCTGCATTACTGCTCTACCTATATGACTTTGATCACTTAACCATTTCTGATCTCAGTTTTACTTGAAAAATGATGATTATAGTGTTCTTTAAGGTACCATCACAAGGATTAAATACATAAAATGTGCATGGCACAGTGTCTGAAATGCAGTCAGGGCTCAATACAAATTAGCAAATATTATTTCCTCCGTTAACCAAAGGTTGACTGTAGTTTGGCATGGCTGATACATGGGAGGTAGGATACAGTCATGGAGAGGATGGAACTGTGGGTGGGGAAGTAAGCAGTCACCAGATACAAAGGAGTTTGTGTGTTTTTACCGAAAGGATGGGTTTTATGCCACAGGCCAGTTTCTCAAGCCATCCCTTATGGGAGTGTGATCTGTCTATAGGGATGACTGCATGGCCCAATATGCTCTCCAAAATGGCAATACTGTTTCGTTTCTTGTTTAATTTTAAACATAAATAGGAGTTTCATGTTCTAGTCTGTAACATGCTCAGTGGTAGGGAGGCGGCCTTCAAAGAGTAATTCTTAGTTGAATGAATGATTATAAAATGATGGCATCTGGAAGCCAATCTACTCTAGAAAAAAAAATTTTTTCCAAACAATTGAACAAACATCTTGAGATGTCTCAATTTCAATATCATGGTATCTAAGATGAGAATGCTTCTGAAACCGAATGTATATCAATGGTTAAAACACTATAACTTCTGTAATACTTTGTCTGAGGGGTTTTAAAAATATCCTGGGTTTTGGAAAATATTCTTACACAAAGAAGCAAAAAGAGGATGGAATAGGCTTGTGTTCTGTTAATACTGAAACTCCAGTCAAGCTGTAACGGATTAAAAGCCTGTTGGAACTGGGAGTTGCCCTATAGCCTTCACAGCTGAATATGATAGATTAGTGATCAAGTCCGGGAAACTCTCATCTTCACCCCAGTTCTGAAGTTGGAGCCAAACATTCACTGTTCAGAGGTAAACATCCCTGCTACCTTTATGCTGTTAGCAGGTTTCCTCTGGACAGGAAGTGGGGGAAAGATGACAGAAGAGGATGGGGTCAGAGCTTTATTCCTAGGAGAGTCGAGAGAACCGAGGTGGTCTGTCTTGCTCTAGGGCCAGTCTTGCTTCAGGAGGTCTCTAAAAGTTTCTTATTAAAAAAAAATCCTACTCTCTTACCATGGAATATTTCAATATATTTTAGAGGAAAACCTACCCATATGCATTTCTTCCATAGTGTCAGCATTTTGTTAAAGTGAACAAAAGTGTTAAAAAAAAAAATCCCTCAAACCCACAAACCAATATGCAGAAACTGGCAAGTGAAACACAGACAACAGGAATTTGAAAGTCAAACCAGAACAAGTCTTTGAAGAGTCCAGGACAGGAGGCATGGAAGCTATTTGGTAATTTACAAAGTATCACCCTCATGTTTATTGTGTAATACCCACAGGCCATACTTTACAGTTTATATTCTATAAATGAGAGCCTTAAACCAGAATTGTGCTTGAAGACGATGAGATCTTAGGTGGCATTTCACTGAGCTTCCTAAAACATGATTCACATAGAGATAGTTAGTCATAAGGCATCATACTTCCTATTTATGCTTAGTTTATTTCATAGCTTATAGCAGTTATAATAGATCATACTTGGAATTGAATGATAACCGAAAAATATTATTCTACTAACATATTAAAGCTGAAAGTTTAGCATAAGAAAGCTTAAGGCTGTTACCCCAAATTAGGATTTATTTTAGCATCTGACATGGACCCCAAAAACGACACATCAAAATAGAAATAAATCTAGGTATATAATCAAAGAATATGTAACATCTCAGTATTTACTAGTATTACTTATCTAAAACTTTATTTTATTACTGTTTTCAGAAAGTTTAATCTTTTCCTAGGTAACTGGCAAACTTTAAAGAACATACTATTTTAAAAGCCTGATAACCAGTTTTCAATTTACTTAGCAGATAAAATGCCATTTTTCCTTTGTGATCCCCCAGCTGGCCACAAACTACATAAGGTACTCAACACACATACATTTTTATTAATTTCATTTCTGTCATAACTTAAGTGAGAAATTTAACAGGCAGGTGAATAAGCTTTATGTTGAGAAGGATTAAGTGATCTTGGTGATCACGTTGCTCCAGGTAGAAACATGGCTTTGCTGCTGAACGTTAGGTAGAACATACGGTACGTAGATAATATCGGAAACCTTGCTACTCTTTCGCTGTATTTCTGCCCCAAACTCCAAGGGGCATAAAGAAAAGAAAAAAGGTTAAGGGAGGAAAAGACCCTTTGGTGACTCAGCTGGCTGGCTGATCTACCCATACAGAACCTTCCGAGCAGGCGCTAGGAGAGCTTGCTGCACCCACGAATGCTGCTAAGGCCTTAAAAGGGTACGACAGGGTAAACAGGGTGCACCAGAGGCCGGCAGACTTTTTCTATAAAGGGAACAGACAGTAAATATCTCGTGTTTGTCGCAACTACTCAACTCTGCTACTGCAGCATGAGATCACCACGGACTATGCTTGGTCGGATGAGCGTGGCTGTGTTCAAGTAATACTTTATTTACAGACGCTGACGTTTAAAGTTCACGTAATTTTTACATCATTAAATATTACTGTCATTCTGATTCCCTAACCATTAAAAAATGAGAAAACCATTCTCAGCTCTTTGAGCCATGCAGACAGGCTGTGGCAGACAGGCCTGTGAGGTGTGGTGTCTGACCCCTGGTTGGCATTCCTGGTCACCGACACTTCAGGCCGCTGCACTCAGACTTACCCATGGGCCTCACCAATCTTACTGTTGCAGGAGCTTGTTTCTTTCCTTTCTGCCATTGTCGCTGGGGCTGCAGGGACATTAAAAGTGACTGATATAAAAAGATTAAGGTTCTTTTACTCTCTTTTATCCTATCTGGAAGATTTTTTTTCAGGTTTAGTTCTTATCTAAGGGGGCATTACAATTAGATGATAAAACTAGATAGGTTAAAATCTATTTTCTAATGCTTTTCTTTCTAAGAAGTTTATGTTTTAAGGCCCATTATGATTATTCAGTAAAAGAACCCTAGAAATTTAATTTAAGGAACTGTACACTTTCATTTTTAATAAACCACATGGCAAAACAATACTTTAATAAATGTATAGGAAATTACAATTTGAAAATTGCAAATACAGTACATATATATATATATATACTATACTTTGATCTTAAATTACATGGACAAACTCCAGCTTCCAAATCTTTCTAAAATCAATCATATGCAAAATACCTGGTTTCTGAAGGTGTAAATGGAAAAGTATATACAATTTCTTAAACTGTGATATGGCTTACTTATTAACATATATTTATTTAGAGAAACATAAGCTTTCCAAATATACATTATCTTTAGGTGCAAAGCTGACATACTGGCACATTTCAATTTTGTGTTGCAGTTATTTCAGAATATACTTAATTGCAATATTCAAATGAACACTGTCATGGGTTAAACTGGGAAAACCTCCATAAATGTTTTCCAATCTTACCAAAATTCAGAAAATGTTTGTTGGTCCTCACAGTACCACCGAGGAACAGGTTAAACCTTTTAGAAGTGAGAATTCAATGGCAGACTGGCCTCCATGTGTAACCAAGCTGCACACACACAATTCATTCAACACTGAGGAACTCCACAGCAATTCTCTTCAATTTGCCTGCTACCAACATCACAAGCAATACCCCTGACTGGCGATCTGTAAAATAAATCTGAAGCCCTGTGAGCTGTGATTCACAGGACGTGTTTGCAGCCAGGGTTTGTGGACAATATTTTGGTTAGAAAGACGATGTCTCTCAGTCTGGCACTCAGGGTTGCTTCCCCTCAACACAGCATATAATGTCACTATTCATTTGACTAATACCCAGCCGCTCATGAGCGAAGCTCGGCTCAGAGACAAACTGAACCAAACGAACTAATCTTGTCTCTAGGAACACATTCTGTAACTTGAAGTTTACCATATGTAAGCTAGAGTGAGCCAACAGCAAAGTGCCTAAGACCTTATTCCAAAGGGGCTCAAATTCTGTAAGAATGCCTTATTTGTTATGGTGAACCAATTAATATAAACACATAGGAAGAAAATAAATTTAGCTAATTGTGCTTGTTTCAGAAGTGAATGCTCATCTCTTCTAAAGTAGTGAGAATAGTTGTTTGAGAAACACAACCTGGGGTCTTATGAGCAGTGATTTTCGTGTGTGGTTGTATGGTGTGTCTACTTCCACCATACTTGTTCTAGAAGGTCCAGCATGCAGAGAACTCTGGATCAGGAAAATCAGCTGTTAAAAAAAAAAGGTCCTTCCCCACCCAGAAACACATTTATAAGTGGTGCTTTGTCTCTGAAAGATAGTTTTTCTTCACGTTAAAATGAAAGGGAAGCTCACGTATCTGATCCTGCCTGTGTCTATTCTGGGAAAATTCTACTGGAGACAAATACTCTCAGTGAGGACACCTGGATTCAAGAGACAGGACCACAACACTGAGATTCCTATGAGCAGGAAACTTAGTTACAGAGACTGGGAACAAAGCACTCAAAGTTGAAAAGAAAACAGTATGGTAAGATTTGGCAAACAGTACTGACGGGAGCTGCAAGTTGTGAAAATCTGGGTTCACATTACACAAGGCATAGCTAATGGAAAAATGTATGTAGGAATTACAATTGCTCCGGGTTCTGCATTTCAAAGCCCTCTGAAATATGCCTTATTCAACTACATTCCCCACATTATATTTCTAAGGCAGCATGGTCCTTCATGAAACAATAGGTCTCTTCCCTAAAACAAATCAAAATTCTGCATCTGGCTAGAGTTGTAAAACACAGGTTATGTACACAAGTAACTCTGATTATTTGCAAATGTTGACTGAAATACATCACACTGAAGAACTGCCCAGCTTTTATGCTGTGATCTGTTTTCCCTGTGCAAAATTAACAATGCTAGGTGTTTATACAAACTCAGCCACTGCCTTTCCCAGGACAAGGGAGAGCCCTTTCTCTGAGAGCTGGCTGAGGAGTGTAACTCAGGGCTGTGGCTCAGTGGGTAAATGACAGACCAGCTGTGTAGTCCCTAGTTGTATCTGCTAAGTTCACATCCTTCTCTGTGGGTCTTGTCAAGTTACAAAAAGTTAAATCAGTCCCCAAATCTTACCGAACCAGTAAAGTACAAGTACAAAATCTGTAAGTCCTTGCTACAAAATGCAAAGCACAGGAAACTCCATGTGTACCTCACTTAACGCAGAATACTGTAAGATTTACAGAAGTTTTCAGTGTTTCTGCATTTTACAAAGGGATCCTTTCAGTCCTCAAATGCATTTTAGACTGTTTCATCAAACAACTTTCCAAGGAATGGGTAGATATGAAAAGTCAGATATATCTATTTAAGATAAAGGAAAGTTTACAAAAAACAACCTTCGCAGATAGGAGGAACGACTGCAAGTATGAGAAAACCCACTAGCATATAAGGCGTATTCTTTCCTTTCTCTCGCTGAGTACTCAAAGCCCACCAATGCCCAGATGCCCACGGAAATGTCTCTCATTTATTCTTACTTGCCCTCTGTGTTTTAATTTTATATTTATTTTGATTTTAACAGTTTATATGCTACTGAAATTTTAGAAAAATTCAAATCATTTAAAATAGATTCACAGTAAGAATCCTAAAAAGTGAATCTTCAATTCAATTCAATAAGCACTCGGTTTTATAGGGAATCATTAATCCTCATCAACCCTTACATTGGGTACTATCAACTCTTAACAATTTTTCAGGTAAATCTAGGTTTTATCTTAGGTTATTTGTGGTGAGGTACTTGGTAGAAAGATGAGATCTGTTTCCTGTTCTCCACTGACATCAGATTTCATCGGTGTGACCATCTAGGATTTCAGTTCACAGCTTGCCGGGTACGTTGCTGCTCTACTCTGATTCGGAGGAATCAAAGAACCATATCTATTCTTGATATAAGAAACTGTTCCTCTTGAAAATGTATTTCTAATGTGCGTAAAAGTAACTGCAAAACCAACCGCTGCAAAATTAAACATGAATATTCACAACTGCCTCTTTAACACAACTGTTACCAATTAGTTGCATTTGGTTGGAAAACTTTTATGCTTAGCCTCCCTACAACACAGATTTAACGTCCATCCCAATTCCCCTGCTTTAAAAACACACACAAAGTCAAAAACCCTTGAGAATTTTGTTTTCCCAGAGTAATATCTTCCTCCAATCCCTCTGGGCATTTCTGCTATGGTATTATTATTGGGAAAACCGCAAAATTACATCGTAGGGTTTTTGGAGTCCATGGAGAATCCCTAACCCATATGACCCAGCCAAAGTTCTCCCTGGAGGAATGTGGTTAATCTACACGCGAGAGGTAGAGAGCAAGCCGAACCTTAGCTTTCCAGAGTTTTACCCTGAACGGGCACACACAGGTTAACTGGTATAGAAGCAAGAATCAAGGTAGCAAGCAAACCTTCTGTACAAAAGGGAAGGGAGTTCTTAAAAGGACAGAGGATCATTGTCTACCTCTTGCAATTTCTTGCTGTTCTTAAAGATAATTCCATGAACAATAAAAGTGATTTCAGGAAGACTTAAGTCTGAAACTCCACACCCCATCCTCATGCTTATATTTTGTTTTAAATTATCACATATAATAATTTGAGTTTATGATTAACATCTGCTATTCAGAATAATACTGATAATATTCCCTAAATAATTTAATGTCAGTGACCACAATATGTAAAGATTTGATGCTGATAAGATTACAAATAATCAAAATCATTTGAGATTCAAAACCCTGTAACATCTGGAAAAAGCAGATTACAAATTATAACAATACCATTAAGACTTATTTGTGAAATAAATCATTCTGAAACTCTAGGAATACATGCTTATTCCACTTTCTGGATAATTAGTAGTGCTTTCTGAAATCTGTTGAGAAATAATTTTGGTAAAAAGAGAGCTTGGGTGTCAAATTCCAGTAGCTGGGTGTGATGATTACATAATAAAAAAAAACCCCGCAGTTTTCCAGCACTGGCTTGATATAAAATGGTCCTTAAAAAGGATTTTTAAATGCAAATACTGAATTCTTGATGCTTCCTTTAAGACAGGTACTGTCATAATCAATGAAGTACAGTCTTGGATTGTCTTCTGTGAGGTATCTATAAGTCATGTCTCATTCTGTAAACAGCATTTTAGAAACATCTTCATCTGAAAATCATAGAGAAGTCTCATTTTACCATTAAACAGAAACTGGCACCATCAGGCTGGAGTGACTGTTCTGAGAGACTGGCTTGATATGGACACAGCTGTCAGGGATTCCATTTCTCACCAAGGTGTGCATTTATTGCTCTTACGTCTGTGACTGCAGGATAAATAAGGCAGTAGTCCCCAACACATATAAAATTAGGGACTGGATCTCTGACAGTTCGCACAAGTTCTGTCCACTTCTTGCCTGTAACTCTGAAGCTGAATAGTACATTTATACATGCCGAATGTGTTCAATAATAAATGCTTTGCTTTGGACTGTACTTCCTCCCATTTAGATGAACTTCCAGGAACTGCAATGTCAAGAAAATATCATTACTATTCATTGTACACAGTTACACGTTACTGAACAAGACAAAGGGCAAAAACCACCTTACTATACTGTGAATATATTTTTATTAATTTGACTTCTACCCTCTTGAAGCTATTCTGTTAGAGAAGTACATCAGTTTACAAAGCCAGAATGACTCCTCCTTATTCCAGTCTCTCCAGGCCACTCTTGGGGAGAGAAAGAATACTAGACATCAATCCCAAGTCTTTCATCTTTTGCACTTAAAAAAAATGCGTGTACTATTTTGATTAAAAACAAAAGCATCAATCTGTGAAATGATTTAAAGAAATAAAAGCGAGAGTCTAGCTTTTCTTATGTAGAAAAATCATGGTAAATA